GCTGGCCTCAAACTTGTGATATTCCTGCCTCAGCCTCTTGAGTTGCTAGATTTAAACAGTGCAGGCTACCTCATTTTTTTTTTTTTTTTTTGGTGCTGGGGATTGAACCTAGGGCTTTGTGCATGCAAGGCAAGCACTCTACCAACTGCCAACTGAGCTATATCCCCAGGCCCTACCTCAAATTTTTAAAGGCTCTAACATAAAAATGATTTTGATCAAAGTTTAACTTATAGGTTTGGATAAATTTGAACTGCTCTCCTCACATAGAGAAATGTCATTTTAAAATTCATTATAATACTAATGTTTGATGTTACTTTTATTGCTACTTTTATTGTAGTAAGTATATGTGCTGGTACAAAGCAAAATTATAATATTTTAATAATGTCTGTAATTTGCATAGTGTTAACCATATGTTAGATTCTTTAAGTGCTTTCTGTTACTTATTTCTATTATGAACCTAGAAATGTGTATATTATTATTCACTTTCCTAAATGAACACACTGAAGCTTGGAGAAGAATGGATCTAAGACTGAAGAGTATTTCTGTTGTCTTGAAAGGCCAGATTTAACAGCAAGATGTTATTTCTTTTGTTTGGTATTTATTAATGATTGATTGATTAATGCTGGGGCTTTATACATGATAGGTAATTGCTCTATCACTGAGTAACAACTGTAGCCCTACTTGGTATTTTTTAAAATGCTATGCTAAGGGGCTGGGGATGTGGCTCAAGGGGTAACGCACTCACCTGGCATGCGCAGGGCGCTGGGTTTGATTCCCAGCACCACATAAAATAAAGATGTTGTGTCTGCCGAAAACTGAAAAATAAATATTAAAAAATTCTCTCTTTAAAAAAAAAATGCTATGCTAAAAAGAGATATATCCAGGCCAGCTATGGGTTCTCTTCAGTGAACTCTAGTTACATAAGAACCGAGCGTGACATAGCTCCTAGCACATTGAACAGTACTGATCACTGTGCCAGAAGAGAACACTAGAAAGCCTTAAACCAATAATTAAGTGCTGCAGTTCAGAAATACACATCATTTCTTTTCACAGCTCTTTGATTGGTACTAGCCAGTGTCCCCACCCATTCACAAGTATGTCAGGAATTGCAATCCAATAAATGTCTGGGAGACAGAGATATTTAATGAGTTAAATATCATATAATCATAATATCATATTATCATAATTTTATATGATAATAAATATCATATAAATAACTACATATAATTTCAACTAATGGCTGGTATCTTACAAGATCTTGATATTGTCTCCAACAGTGCCAGAAATCACATCCAGAGAAAGAACACTCAGAAAAAGAAGAGTCATTATTAAAAAAAAAAATTTAAAAAATTGTCAATTGGCCTTTATTTATTCATTTATCTATTTGTATGTGGTGCTGAGAACCAAACCCAGTGCCTCACACATGCTAGTGTTCTACCACTGAGCTACAATCCCAGCCCAAGGGTTATTATTCTTAACAGCAAGGAAAATTTCCCTAGAAGCCCCTAATAGACTTCACTCACTTAGTATTGTCCAGAACAGAACCATATGTCCGTTCTTAACCAATTGCTGGCAAGAGGAAAGAGATGATGATGATGATGATGATTAGGGTAGGCAGTACAGAGGACTGAACTCAGAGGTACTCTTCCACTGAACTACATCCCCAGCCATTTTTAAGATCTTTTATTTAGAGACAGGGTCTCACCAAATTGCCCAGGCTCTCAATTAGCTGTGATTATAGGCATACACCACTATGCCTGGCTCTGAGAAATGAGATTATTATGGTTAGCTCAGTCCAGGAGATCTACCTTCTAGAGCCAGGATTGAGTCACTTTTCCCTGAAGCTCACGGCTGGATTTATGTTAAGTGTAGAAAAAGATGTTAAAATATATTTCTCTGGTACTTTTTAGTGAGCCAAATCCATAAAGGAAAGATACATCAATCCTGTCAATAACACAGGTTGAAACCAAGATGAGAAAGTGGAAAATGAATGTAGGCAGGAATTCAATGGGATTTGCTACAAAAAGCTAACCTAGAGGGATAGAATGTTCAATAAGAAATATTATACAGTCTGATATAATGACTCACACCTATAATTCCAGATTCTTGGGAAGATGAGGCAGGAAAATCACAAATCCAAGGCCAGCCTCAGCAACTTAGTGAGACTCTGTCTCAAAATAAAAAAAATTTAAAAAGGGCTGGGGATATAGTTCAGTGGTAGTTCAATCCCCAGTATTGATAGAAAAAAATTATACAATGGGGACTGGAGGTTTATGTCAATGGTAGATCATGTGCTTTATGTATACAAGATCCTGGGTTCAATCCCCAATACTGTAAAGCCAAACAAAATAAAAACCAAAAGGGAAGAACTGAGAAATGAAATTGATCAAATCATGATACGTATATATACAAATATATCATACTGATTCCCACCTTTATGTATATCTATAAAGAACCAATTAAAAATGAATAAATGGAAGGAAGACCAGTAGAGTAGGAGAAGGGGACTAAGAGCAGTAGGAAGGGAAGGAATTAGTGAGGACTGAAATAGAGCAAACGATATTCAATGTATGTATAATTATGTCAAAATAAACCCTACTATTATGTATAACTATAATGCACTAATAAAAACATTAAAAAAATCAACCTAAGGCCTAGTTCTGACATATAATTTGATTAGAGTTATGCAACTAGTGTTCAAACCAGATGTTAAACCAAAGCAATCTGGTTCCAAAGTTTGGATTTCTTTTTTCTTTGCAGTACAGGTGATTGAACCCAGTGGGGCTCTACCACTGATCTACAATACAGCCCTTTTTATGTGGAACAGCATCTTGTTAAGTTGTCCAGATGTAGCTCAGTGGTAGAATGCTTGCCTAGCAAAAGTGCAAACTCTGGGTTCAATTCCCAGCACCACCTCCCCTAAAAAAGAACTTGGACATAGTACCTTTGATTTTTTTAATCTTTTTTGGGGCAGGGATGTTGGTGATTAAACACAGGGTCTCCCACATGCTAAAAGGCGCTTTACCATTGAGTAGCATTTCCAGTCCCTAAACTTTCAAAATTTTGTAGCCTCTTGCAAATAATACTTCTGCTTCATAAAAATCAGTAACAAATAGCTGGGCTCAATGACTCACACCTATCATCTCAGATACTCCAGAGGCTGAGGCGGTAAGATCACAAGTTCCAGGTCAGCCTGGCAATTTAGCAAGACCCTGTCTTAAAATAAAAAAGGGCTGGGGATAAGCTCAGTTGTAAAGTGTCTATGTTCAATCCCAGTACCCAGGAAGGGAAAAAAAAGAATTTCATGTTTTCACCATAATGTTTGAGATGAAGGATTTTTAACCTGATTTAAATATTACATGTTCTGTGCATGTATTGAAACACCATTTTACCCCATTAATATGTAGAATTTTGTTTTATATATCAGTTAAAAATAATTTTCACCAGAGGGGAGGCCAAAGCAGGAGGATCACAAATTCCAGGCCAGCCTCAGCTACTTATCAAGACTGTCTCAAAATAAAAAAATAGGAATGGCTGGGAAGTATCTCAGTAGTAGGGTGCCCTGGTTCAAACACCAGTATAGTGAAAAAAAATTTTTTTTAAATAATAAAAGAACAATTACAGCCAAATTATTCTTCTTATGTAAATAAAATGGAATTTAGTCTGCCATCTAGTTGATAAGGCAGTAGGTTTTTTTTTCTATTTTTATTTTTTTTCCAATGAGGTAAAAAATATTTTGCTGGTTGAAGTAGATTAGTTACCTAATGAAAGTAGTTTTCATACTACTTATTGTTTATATTCTTTAAGTCTCTAGCTCATTTTCTATTGGAAAGTATATAATATTTTATTAATTAATGGATGAACAGAAAATAGAGTACTGCATTCAATCATTCTGGTTTGTTTGAGACTGAAGATTCTATACTGTTAATATTTTCAATATCCTTGTAGATTTCAAAATAGAAACATTTTTATTGCTTTTAATAATTTAAAAATGTAGTATGTGGGTGTTCTTACAAAGCAGTCAAACAGTAATAGAAATACACACAGAAGAAAGTTAAAGACTCTATAATTCCATTCCTATATAACCAACTGCAGAAGACAGGGAAAGATGTAGTCATAAAAAGAAATGTAATAAATACATGAAATGTAAACTATTTATGGTCATATAAAACCCAAATAGTAAATATGGATTTAACCAAATACTTTAACATAGCCATACTGGTAAAATAGAAGAGACAGAGGGAGATATAACAGATTGAAAAAAGTCCTCCCTTATCCCTCTATGAATTAAGTGACAGAAATATATGCCTTTTTTTAAGCAATATGTACATACATATGAAAAGAAATAGTCAATGAAGTTATAAGTAGTTGCTTGTGGGGAACAGAATCTGGTCCTACAGGAAGGGCAGACAAATAGTTTCTATGTTTAGGTATAAGATTTTGAGAGCTACTTCATATTTTATGGGTATAACAACACTCAGATTGAGATTAAGCTAAAAGAAAAATAAGATGATAAAGCACCCATATTTAGAGACAAAATTCTCTTGAAAAGTTTATTTAACATTCCTAATAATAAACCATTCAACTTTCCAGTCTGTATGAAGTTTTGCTTGAGATTAAATTTATTTGCAAACCCTCATGTAATCCAATTGGATATGAATAAAGTTTTTAATATCAAGTTTTTAAATAAGTCATTTGAATATCTGCCTTTTCCTATGGGATAACAATAATATTACTATCATATTTTTCTTATTTTTATTACAATTAGTTCTTTACAAGATTATTACTAACAAATCCTGATTTTTAGTACAGGTTGAGAATTCCTTATCAAAAATGCTTGAGCCCACAAGTATTTTGGAGTGTTTATACATATATAATGAGATATTTTAGGGATGAGACATAAGTCTAAACATGAAATTCATTGATGTTTCCTATATTTTTACACATAACCTGAAGGTAATTTTATACCTTTTTATTTTAACAAATTTTTATTTTTTGCAGTACTGGGATTTGAGCCCAGAAGCTCTCTACCACTGAAACTATATTCCCTTTATATTTTTTTATCTTAAAAATAGAGTTTTGCTATTGTTTAATTGTCCTGGAACTTGTGATCCTTCTTCCTCAGTCTCCCAAGTCACTGGGATTATAGGTGTTTGCCACCACATATGGCTTATACATATATTTAATAAAGTGGATGAAACAAAGTTTTATGGTATGGAATTTTCCACCTCAGGTGGCATATTGGTGCTCAAAGTTTTGGATTTTGGGGCATTTTGAATTATTTTGGACTTTTGAATTAAGGATGCTCAACCTGTACTTTGCTAAGGCAAAAGAGAAACATGATGCTTTAAAATTATTTTTAAATTTCCTATGAACTATTTTATAGTACAAAACTATTTGATATTAAGTATTCTTATGTTCAAATACTAAAAGTAATCTTTACTTCCCAAATTAAGTTTATACTCCAAGATTTTATTTTTAAAATATTTACATAATAAATACAATTTTAATCACTAAGTTCTTCCTCATCACTGAAATAGGTACTTTTCTTTATCCTTGGGCGTCTTGAATCATCTGATGTTGAAGGACCCCCTGCACTGGGTTTCCATTTGTTTTGTTCTTCTTCAATTTTGGCTTGCTATAATGTGATTCAGAAAAGAAATAAAACCAGCATTTTGTCTAAAGTTATTCATGGTGCATTAATTTGAACATGGCAAAAATGCAACACAAATGAAACCACTTTCCACCCTTCCAGGTCATGAAGACAGTAAGATATTCCTCTCAACCCTCTTACTTTGTCTCAATTACAATATTCCTCAAAATCATCCTAGGTTATTTCTCTCTTTTTTTGGTTCTGGGGATTGAACTCAGGAGCACTTAACCACTGAGCCACCTCCCCAGCCCTTTTTTGTATTTTATTTAGAAAGAGGGTTTCACTTGAGTTGCTTAGTGCCTTGCTAAGTTGCTAAGACTGGCCTTGCTTTTTTTTTTTTGGTACCAGGGATTGAACCCAGGGGCGCTGAACCACATCCCCAGCCCTTTTTATATTTTATTTAGAGATAGGATCTTGCTGAGTTGCTCAGGGCCTCCCTAAATTGCTGAGGCTGGCTCTGAACTCGTAATCCTCCTGCCTCAGCCTCCTGAGCTGCTGGGATATAGGCATGTGTCATTGTGCCTGGCTTTCCTAGGTAATTTCTGAAAAGTCTTTTTGGTTGAGCTAAACTCACTTTAATCAAATAATTCTGCTCAATTCTATAATGAAAATAGGAAACTAAAAATGTTTCAATGTTTTTCTTAAAATTTAGAAAGAACAAATGGGAACTTTTCATTCCCATTTGTTAGAGGAACATTCTGTAATCTCAAATTTAGGAGGTGAAGGGGAAAGATAGAGGCTTCCACGAGGAGACAGTCAATAAAGTGAGTAAGGGATGCTAGGTGTGGAGGCTGCACACCTATAATCTCTGTGACTGGTGTGGCTGCGGCAGGAGAATCCCAATTTTTAGGTAGCCTGGGAAATTTAGCAAGACCTGTCTCAAAATAAAAAATAGAAAGGGATAGGGCTATAGCTCAGTGGTAAAGTGCTCCTGGGTTCAATTTAGCACCAAAAAAAGAAAAGAGAAAAAGCAAGCAAGGACTATAAATCTTTGTAACTACAGTACTTAAAAAAAAAAAAATTTAGTACCTGAAATGCAATGGCCTGACTTAGACTGTCAAGAGCAGGATCTTCCCCTTCATCTTCACTTTCTTCTACTTCCTCACTAAATTATTAAAGAGAAAGAGAAGGGTGTGTGTGTGGGAGATCAGCATGCAATTAATCAACAGTAAAAAGACAAATCAACACACTAAGGTCATAATAGATATACATACATTTCTTCTTCTGGTTCAGGAATTTTCTTTTTTTTCTTTTTTTCTTTCTTCTTTGGAGGCTCCCGTTCTCCAAGCATATTTTTAGGACAGGCATAACTTAAGTGTCCACTTTCCTTTTAATTCACATTAAAAAGAGGAAAAATACTATATTTGTTATTAACAGAAACCTGCCAGGTACCTTATGACTGAAAGGTTTTAGAATAATAAAAAAAAATCCTCACACTGGGAATACACAAAAGAAAATGACTTTTTAAACAACAGTTTATCTAGCATGAGCAAAGTCTACTACAAAGAAAGGAAAATTTTGTCTTCTTCATTTTTATTTTTAACTACTTTCATATCTACATTATACCTGCACTGTCCAATTATAGTAGACACTAGCTCTATGTGCCTACTATGAGCATGTCTGAATTGATATATACTAAAGGGAAAAGGCACACTTTGAAGACTTATGAAAAAAAGACTATACAAATCTTAATTTAAAAAACCAGTATGTGGCTGGGTATTGTGGCTTAGAGGTAGAGTGCTTGCCTAGCATGTGTGAGGCACAATCCTGTGCACCACATAAAAATAAAATAAAGGTATTGTGTCCATCTAAAACTAAAAAATAAATGTTAAAAAACAAAAAAACACCCCAAAACCCAATGGGCATGGGCATGGACTATAGCTCAGTGCATTTGCCTAAGATGCGTGAGGCACTGGGTTCAATCCTCAGCACCACATAAAAAAATAAATAAAATAAAAGCATGCTGTCCATCTACAACTGTAAAAGAAATTAAAAAACAAAACAAAACAAAAAAAACAAAAAACAATGGGCTGCAGATGTAGCTCAGCTGTACAGAAAATGCCTAGCAAATGTGAAGTGTTGGGTTCATTCCCCATCACTGCAAAATAAGTAAATAAATAAATATATAAATAAAATTGCTGATATTATAGTCCTATTTAATAGGACTACATTTACCTACAGAAGCACTTCCCAAACTTTTCTGGAACAATGGTATACCAACAAATTTTAACATGTCCCATTGGAAAAAAAAAAAAGGATTAATATTGAAATAACTGAGAAAAAAAGGAGGAATAAATGTAAACCAATTTTGTGGGAATTAAAGGATGTATAAAAATTTACAAAGTATAATACAATGAATCTATGGATCCACAAGCCAGATTCATTCAAAGTTTCTCAGTAATTTAATATTTACTATGAACATGAAAAATGATATATTCTATTATACATAACTATCTCTACTCCTTTTTTATTTTTTATTTTTATTTATTTATTTGCTTTTGGTGGTAGGGACCAAACCCCCAGGACCTTATGCATGTTAGTACTCCTTTTAAAACAAAACTTAGGACTTCGGAAAAGCATCTTTAAAACATTCACTTAAAGGGGTTTAAAATCATAGAGATTGACAGAATTCGTATGTATCCATGCCACTGTTTGCTTCCTCTTTCTATTCATTCATCCATCTGTCTATATATTGTTCTTTGATGGGGAAGGGGAATAGGGAGTGGCAGTGGGAGAAAGGAGCCCAAGCCATTTCTTTGAATTGTTCATGTGATTTTGTAGCTAGGACATTGTCTCTGAGTAATTTTCTCTCCAGTTCCCCATTAATACTTCAGGATCCAGTTTAAGTATTTTACACTGTCATTTAAGTATTTATACCATCTTTCAGAAACTGACAGATATGAGATCCAGACTGAAATTTTCTTAGGGGTCTTTACAAAATTGTTCTATGGCTATCTCTCTCCTAATCACCAAAATGTTACATGGATGACAGTAGATCATGAAAAGACTCAAGACAAGAAAATGTGGGGGTAGTTCAATTACAAAACATTAGCCATATAATGGGGAAAAAATCTTTTTCAAAACAGTGGGTTTGGTGGAGCATGTCTGCATTCCCAGCTAATTGGGAGGCTGAGGCAGGAAGATCTCTTGAGTTTGAAAGTTCAATCCAGCCTAGGCCACAAAGTGACATTTTCAACAACAAAAATTCAAAACCTACCATCTCAGAGAGGATAGGTTAAATGATAATACTGGTACTTAATTTTGTGTGTGTGGTGGGGGGTGGCGGTAATAGGGATTGAACCCTAGAGTGCTTTACCACTGAGCGACATACCCAGTCCTTTTTATTTTGAGACAGGGTCTTGCTAAGTTGCCAACTTGTGATCCCCCTCTCTCAGCCTCCCAAGTAGTTGAAATTATAGGTATGTGCCACTGCACCTGGTGGTAATAAATTGTTACATTTAAACACTGGTAAAATGTCACAGAAACAGGAAATAACATTAATAAAAATTCGAGTTACCCCAAATTTTTAAGACATTGAGATAAACAGTATAACACTTTTAGAAAACAATTTCAAAGAGGTAGAAACTGGAGAAACTATCACTCTATATTATCCAATCACAGTTATCTTTAAATACTACATTTAAATTAAATTTACTTAGATGAGTTTGAAGTGTCTAAGTAAAACAACTTTTAGAAGCTGGTTTTAGCCAGTCAGAAGTTCTTTTTTTTTTTCCCCTTAGGACTGAACCCAGGGACAGTCCATCACTACACTATATTCCCAGCCCTTTTAAAAAATGTTGATATAGAGTCTTACAAAGTTGCTCAGGTTGGCCTAGAACTTGTGATCCTCCTGCCTCAGCTTCCCAAGTAGCAGGGATTATAGAAGTGAGGCACTGCGTATGGCTGCCAGCCTATGGCCTAGGCTGGTCTTGAACTTTCAAACTCAAGAGATCTTCCTGCCTCAGCCTCCCAATTAGCTGGGAATGCAGACATGCTCCACCAAACCCACTGTTCTGAAAAAGTTTTTTTCCCCATTATATGGCTAATGTTTTTAACCGAACTACCCCCACGTTTTCTTGTCTGGCAAGACAAGAAACCAGCTTCTAAAAGTTGTTTTACTTAGAGACTTCAGACTCATCTAAGTAAATTTAATTTAAATGTAGTATTTAAAGATAACTGTGATTGGATAATATAGAGTGATAATTTCTCCAGTTTCTACCTTTTTGAAATTGTTTTCTAAAAAGTGTTAGATTGTTATATCTCATGATTTTAGTTTTGAGGAACACCAATAAAAGACTATTGTGGAAAATACTTCAGAGTAAACTACAATGATTTCATTAAATTTTAGGTTTACTCACCCCACATTCATAACACTTAGATTTATCAAAGTAGTTTCGCCTCCTGATGAACTCCGCTGCTCTTCCATTGTCAATAGCAATGCTTGCCTTTATCACTCTACCAAACAGCTAAACAGACAAAAATGTAAATGCAGAAGGATGTATTTCACAGAAACCTAAACTAGTTATTTGATCTTATTTCTTCGAATCTTCAATTCCATTTATATTTTGGATGATTTTAGCAATTGCCCTACTTTGATTGATGAAGTCTACCCTATGGTATTTTTCTTAGATTCTACCAATGTTTTGGGAGCCCAGTATATCTTGGTCATCCCCATTAGATGCTTTCTGAATCCGTGGATACTCATTAACTGTATTTCCCATATTTCCCCATATTTTTTGGGTTACAAACCTTGGTGAGAATGTTTGGCTTACCTGTTTGTTGTTTATTGCCCTTGTACAGTTTTGTGCAGAGTCTTTATCCAAAAATAAAATAAATGCAACCCCTTTACTTTTCCTGGTATCTTTGTCTTTCATTATAGTAACCCTTAAAGCATAAACAAAGAGCCAGTTAAAAATGAGGCAATGATAAATTTAAAAAATATGAATATTTAGAAAACTCGAATTTTAAAAAATGGTTATGTAATAAAACATTTACAAAGTAAGAGAAATCAATACATTTATAAAACCAGCTATCTCTTCAAAGTCAGGGGTATCAAGAATGGAAATGACAAAGTGAAAGTGACTTATAAGTGAGCACAGATTTGTGAGTTAGTCTGTGTGTCCTCTATTCTGTACCAATGGTCTACCAATCTGTTTTGGTGCCAATACCATGCTGTTTTTGTTACTATTGCTCTGTAGTATGGTTTAAGGTCTGGTATGGTGATGCCACTTGCTTTACTCTTCCTGCTAAGGATTGCTTTAGCTATTCTGGGTTTCTTATTTTTCCAGATGATTGCTTTTTCTATTTCTATGAGAACCTGAAGAGACGCTTCTCAAAAGATGATGTACAACCAATCAACAAATACATGAAAAAATGTTCATCATCACTAGCAATTAGAGAAATGCAAATTAAAAGCAATCTAAGATTTCATCTCACTCCGGTCAGAATGGCAGCTATTATACATACAAACAACAATAAGTGTTGGCGAGGACGAGGGGAAAAAGTACACTTGAACACTGCTGGTGGGACTGCAAATTGGTGCAGCCAATATGGAAAGCGGTATAAACATTTCTTGGAAAATTGGGAATGAAACCACTATTTAACCCAGCTGTCCCTCTCCTTCATCTATATCCAAAGGACTCAAAAACCACATACTAAAGGGACACAGCCATATCAATGTTTATAGCAACACAATTCACAATAGCTAAACTGTGGAACCAACCTAGATGCCCTTCAATAGATTAATGGATAAAAAAATGTGGCATGTATACACAATGGAATAATACTTAGTAATAAAAAGAATAAAATCATGGCATTTTCAAGTAAATGGATGGAGTTAGAGAAGATAATGCTAAGTGAAGTTAGCCAATCCCAAAATACCAAATGCTGAATGTTTTCTCTGATATAAGGAGGCTGGTTCATAGTCGGGTAGGGAGAGAGTGCATGGGAGGAACAGACGAACTCTAGATAGGGCAGAGGGGCTGGAGGGAAAGGGAGGGGGCATGGGATTATTAATGATGGTGGAATGTGATGATCTTTACTATCCAAAGTACATGTATGAAGACATGAATTGGTATGAATATACTACGTATACAATCAGAGATATGAAAAATTGTGCTCTATATATGTAATAAGAATTTTAATGCATTCTGCTGTCATATATAAATTTAAAAATTTACATAAAAAAAGATTGGTCTCCATAAATTTGTTTTCGTTACTTTTGTGACTGAGAATAAAATCAGGGCTGGGGATGTGGCTCAAGCGGTAGCGAGCTCGCCTGGCATGCCTGCGGCCCGGGATCGATCCTCAGCACCACATACCAACAAAGATGTTCTGTCTGCCGAGAACTAAAAAATAAATATTAAAAATTCTCTCTCTCTCTCTCTCTCTCTCCTCTCTCACTCTCTTTAAAGAAAATAAATAAAAATTAGAGATTTACTTTAAAAAAAAAAAAGAGAATAAAATCAACCTGATCTAGAACAAAGAGAATTACATTTGTTTGGGGCTAGGTAGGATTATAATCCAGAAAAAAACAGATTCAAGCAGTCTTGAAAATGTGCTACAAGATTTTACAAAGTGGCAGCTAAATTTTTAGCTTTTCTACAAAGGGTTTGGAAATTACATCACTTGTTATGAATTATGATCAGTGAGGGCAGAAGTTCAGCTGTTTTGCAAGAAAGGAACTGGGTGCAGTTTCAGTCTCTGGATAGTTTTGGGGAAAAGGTCCCTTTGTAGAAAGCAATCAGTGGTGTTTAACAAAAAAGGTCAGCTTTCATGGGGCATGAAGGTGGATCTGCTTGCAGCCCATTTCAAAGGTTCAGCTGCAAAGCTGTCTGAGATCTGATTAACAATGATCTTCTGACTCCATCTGAAGTACCCTGAGCCAATGCTACTGCATTTTGTTTTGTTCCTTTACAACTCTAATCCAAATCTCTACACTGAAGCCAAAATAAACTTTTAAAAAGTTTTAGAAGCCATACTGGGTGTAGTGACACCTTCCTATAATTCCAGCAACTTTGGGCTCTGAGGCAAGAGGATTACAAGTTTGAGGCCAGCCTTAGCAGTTTAACAAGACCCTGCTCAAAATGAAAAAATACAACCGAAAAAGGGAAAAGAAATAAAAAGAAAAAATAAAATTTGGGCAGCCAGGGATGTAGTAGCTCAATAGTAAAGCACATGGCCCTGGGTTTAATCCTCAGTACCACCCTTTTCTCAAAAAATGGAGGAAAAAAAAAAAAAGAGCCTTCTTCAATGATTCCAAGTGTTTTCAGAATGAAAAACAAACAAGAATAGGAACCGACAGGCATTTAGAGCCATCTTTTCTCTCCCTTAACTTATTCATCTCCAGTCACAGGGGCCTTCTTTGTTTTGTTTTGTTTTCATGGTAATGAAGATTGAACCCAAGGGTAGTGTACCACAAAGATACAGACCTCTGGAGCTTTTTTTTTTTTTTTTTTTGAGACACCACCTAAATTCCTAAATCTGGTTTTGAATTTGAGATCCTCCAGTCTCAGCCTCTAGAGTAGCTGAGATTACAGGGTACACCACTATGCCTGGTCTTTGTTTCTTTGTTTCATTTTATTTTCTCTTGCAAGAAGGCCTGTAGTACAAACTATTCCCTGTACTTCCCCCACCCCTTTTTTTTTTTTTGCTGTGCTAGGAATTGAACTCAGAGCCTCACACATGCTAGGTAAATGCTTTATCACTGAATAAAATCAACCTGAACTAGAACATCCCCAGTCCCCATCTTCCCATTTTTTTTTTTTTGCCTAATTACCTGCAGGTTTTTGTTTTTGTTTTTTTTTTTAAAGTACTAGAGATTGAATCCACAGGCACTCTACTACTGAGCTACATCCCCAACTCTTTTTTATTTTGTAGCAGGGTCTTGATAAATTTCTCAATGCTTGAAGTTGCAATCCTCCTGCCTTAGTCTTCTAAATTCCTGGGATTACAGGTAAGTGCCACTGACCCAACCCAGAAGTATTTTTTGATGATTTGTAGTAGCAAAGTTAGTTTTAACAAAGTTAAAAATCTCAAGATACAAATGAACTTCAAGTGTTTAATATCCATTTATGGAAAACCAGAGAAAGAAATTTAGGATATAATGTCAAGTAAAAAAAACAAAATTGCATGTATGGAATTGTTTTTAAAAAGTTGTCTACATATTTATGTACATACAACAACAACTGAAATATACATAAAATGTTAATAGTTTATTCATCTGATTATATCAAGTATCTTTTAAGGTGAATACTTACTTCACAACTTTGCCATACTTGGAAAATATCTGAAACAAAAGATCACATAAAAATTTATAATTTAAAATCATAAACACTGAATTTTCAGGTTGTAAACGATAACTAAATTCTTTGTTATGGTTTATAAAGAAATTTTAGCCTTCCATCTATAAAACAGGTTCTACAAGAAATATTTTCTATGTGACCAGAAAAAAAATTTTTTATATTTATTTTTTAATTGTAGTTGGACACAATACCTTTATTTTATTTGTTTTATGTGGTGCTGAGGATGGAACCCAGGGCCTTGTGTAGGCGAATGCTCTACCAGCTGAGCCACTACCCCAGCCCCCAGAACAAAATTCTTATTCTCATTGCAATCACATGTATCTGCCTCTGTTCCTGAATTTCTGAAAAAAACACTTATCTGGGCACAGTGGCACATATCTGTAACACCAGCTATAGGTGAGGTTAAGGCAAGAGGACCACAAATTTGAGGTCAGGCTTAGCAACTTAGTAAGAACTTAACAATAACCTTTCTCAAAATAAAAAATAAAAAGGGGGCTGGGGTCGTGGCTATGGGGTGGAGTGCTTGCCTGGCACCTGTGGGGCCCTGACTTCGATCCTCAGCACCACATAAAAACAAATAAAAGAAAAATAAAGGTATTGTGTCCAACTACAGCTAAAAAATAAAAATAAAAACAAACAAACAAACAGCTGGAGGGGTAGGTAGTGGTAGAGGATCCCTGGATTCAATCCCCAGTATGGCAAAACAAATAAAGAGACACTTTACATGTGTGATAGATCTAAGGCAGGTACACCAGACGGCTGCTGTTTTCTTATGGTATATTCTTGGCAAGTATCAACTCCACCATAGCTTCAGCTAAACCAAATATAAATGTTGTGGAATATCACTTTTTGTATTCTACACCTACAGTCTAAGCAATAACTGTTTAAGAAGTCAGTCGTTAGACTGCTTATAAAAACAAAACTTCAACAATGAAAAATCCATTTCCATAGATCTCCATCCTCTGTCCATCATTAATATGTAGTACTTTATAGTTGGCCCTTTCTTCCCTTTTAGTTCTATATCTTCAGCTAGTACCTGTAAACTTGTAAGTACTCTCTCCCCCTTTTTCAGTACTGGAATTGAACCCAGACCCCTGTGCATGCTAGCCAAATGTTCTACCACTGAACTATATTCACAGTCCTTATTTTATTTTGAGATGGTGTTTCACTAAGTTGCTTAGGCTGGTCTCAAACTTGCAATCCTCCTACTTTAGTCTCCTGAGTGGCTGGGATTTTAGGCATGTTCCATCACACCCAGCTAGTTCCTACTTCTTACACAATGGGCTGGGGATGTAGCTCAGTGGCACAGTATTTGCCTAGCATGTGTGAGGTCATATGTAAGGCTCTGAGTTCAACCCTCAGCACTGCAAACAAACTAAAAAACCACTTATATAATGTATTTTAGAAAACAATTTTAGAATATGTTAATACATGCTGTTGAGAGCCACAGTTTAGTAGGAATGATGCCTGGCATTTTGCCAGAGGGTATGGTTGGAAGGTGACCCTGTTCTGGAATAGGGCGGCTCTGGGATTAGGGTGGATCTTGCTGGGAATAGGGCGGCTCAGGGATTAGGGCGGATCCTGCTGCCTACTTTGGAGTTCCCATTGTTTCCCAGAGAATTGGCCTGCAGAGCCTAGTGGAGGGAGTGTGTTCCCAGGAAGTGTGTGTAGAGTGCCGGTGAGAGTTGGGGAATAAAGAGTTGTTCTTTGAACCTACAAGGCTGTGTGGCGGCTTGGTTATTTTGTGCCCAGCCAGACTACGACAACATGCAACCAATAATTATGAAATTTTGAGTTCTATGATTAGTTCAGTWATGCTGCAATGCAGTGTAACTGGATTCCAGTGTTAGCAACATCAGATTCTGAGGCCAGTACACTTTTCTATATAACATTTTTTAATAGCTTCTAATTTCACTCAGATTGAAAGCTGGGCTCTTTAGAATAATCTGTATAGGCCCTATAAGGCATCCCTAGAATGAGTTTACCTCTGATTACCCTTCCTCTTTTGAAATACTTTTCTCCTAGACATCTGCCTCTTAATTGCTTCAGTGTTTTATTTGAAAGTTACCTTCTCAATAAGGGTATTCTAACCACCCTATCTAAAATTTCACTTTCATTATCAACTTAACATTTAATAGCCCTCCTTCCCTGCCTTTTCTCCTTAGCAACCAACATTTTAACATCTCCCTTAGTATCTAACTTTTTCATATTGCACAGTCTGTTTTTCTTGTTATCCTGAATCATGAATTCAAGTCTTTTTGTTCACTGATATGTCTCTATTACAACCTTTCAGAGTACTCAGAACACATTAAGCATTCAACACACTGTCCACTTTGTTATAGAGAAGCTAAAGCTAATTTTCCCTATGTTCTTTGAAACTCAAGCTATCTTAATTAATTAAGTACCATGAATCACATATGTAGCATCTCTGTACTGAACATTTATCCAAAGTAGTAAAGAAAATAGGGCACACTTGAAGAAAGGATTTACATCCTTCCTTTCAATTCCTCTCAACCACCCATGTGCAGGAAAAATAAAGTGGGAAATTTTGTTCTCTATAAGGTAAAGAAGTGAAAGAATATACTAGAAGGGATATTCCCCCCCCCATCTCAATCACCCTTATTCTGAACTGAAAACCACATGTATTAAACTGTTAAACATTCTGCTTATATGTGAATGTTGTGAATACTCAAAAAACCTGAAAGTTAGGAAAGGGATATTTGCTCTTATCAGTCCTTTACTCCAAAACCTCATCTCCATTACCAGTTAGTTTCAAAAGCCAAGTAAGCAAGCAGTAAAAACTGGCCTATCACAAACTGCTCCCGCTTTGTAATGCTATTTTATCTTCTGTTTATAAAAAACTCATTGTTTTCTAAAAAAGCATAGTAAATTCTCTTTGGAAATGATAACTAATTTTATTCATATTTTCAATAGAGGTCTTTGGTATTAACGGTTTAAGTGCATTATAATGTTCTAATTAAGAATTTTGTAAGAGAAGCTGGGTGCAGTGGCACATGACTGTAATCCCAGTGGCTGGGAAGACTGAGGCAGGAGAATCAAAAGTTCAAAGCCAGCCTCAGCAATTTAGCAGGGCCCTAAATGAAAAACCAGCCTCTATCTCAGAGCAAAGCCTGTCCAAGGAAGGGACATGCCTTTGTCCTTGGAAAAACCCACAGAGCACTCCTAGGCACATTACCACCCTGCTAAGTTGTTTATCTACAGGAGAGATCTGCTGCGCCAGGTGTCCCTGACTCAGTCAGGCTAGGTGGGGATCCATAGCAGCCCCCTAGCAGCCACCAATCAGCATGAGACAGGGAAATACCTGGGATGCCAGATGACCTTCCCAGTATTTTATGGTGGTTGATAACAAGTTGGGAAACCATGTAGTTCAGCACGTACACCCCTCTTGGCTTAAACCAATCAGTTCAAATGAATACCCCTTTTGTACTGACCAATCACCCCTACCCAACTTGTTCCCGCCAGTGAATGTGCTAATCATGTTTTAGAGTTGTTATTTGATTTTGCCGTGGTGTGTGATGATTTGCTATGATGTATGTGAAGTCTCTGCCCTCTCCAAAGAATGTATAAAACTGCTGCAAACCCTGGGCTTGGGGCCTCTCAGCGTCACCAGTTGCTGTGTGTGTGCCCGCGCAGAGGACCGAGCTAGGAGCTAGCTCGCAATAAACACCTCTTTGCTGCTTACATCGATCTTGGGTCTCTGGTGGTCTTTGGGGGTCCGAATTCGAGCATAACATAAGCAACTCAGTGAGACCCTGTCTCTAAATAAAACACAAAAAAGGACTGGGGATGTGACTTAGTGGTTAAGTGCCTGAGTTCAATCCCCGGTACCAAAACATATATAAGTAGATAAATAAAAAGATTTTTGTCAGAACTATTTGCTTAAAAGTACATCTGTATCTCAAATAGACAATTCAGTAGATAAATGCATTAATACTAAAACTTACCCGATATAAATCGTTGTTTGTCAGGGAGAAGGGCAAGTTAGATACATACACTGTGCTCTTACTTGGAGCTAAGCCACCACTCATTTCTAAAAAAGGAAAAAAAAAAAAAAGTAACCTATAAGCAATGTAAACCAGACATTCCTCATTCCAAGTAAAACCAAGTGTTGGCCACCACTAATTTAATTTACATGCCTTTCTTACAAATGTAAAAAGTGAGAGTCAGTGAGTCCAGCTGGGTGAATTAAGGAATTCATTTTCCCCAGTCACCACTTAAAGAGTTTTTAATATGGTCCTTCTTTCAAGTAAATTCTTTAATCTTTTATTTAGTGCTGGACTGTGTATGAGAGGATGGCTTTCCAAAAGATGAAAGCAAAACCTTGAGATTACTTTTTACTTCCCCTTAGGATAAAAGCAAGAAAGTACTTTCAAATAGGTAGTATACCTTGCCATTCACCTCAGAGAGTCTGGTGGCTCATAGAGAACCACTGCCACTAATTTTTTTTTTGGTAATACTTTGGGTACTTTTGGGGGGTTGTATTCATATCAAGAGGAAATGTTAGGCTCACTTTTTCACAATGTAAAATTATTTTTAACACTTAATTTTGCACTTTGTTGACAAATTATGAATTACAGCATTTTATGAGAGCTTCCAAGGTATAGTGTTTTACATATACACGTTATGTTTAAGGTTACAAATATAACCTCTAATTAAGTTTCACAACTTATTTTACAAAGTCAGCAAATCACCCATGAAAATTATTTCGGGATTAACCAATTTTTTTCCTTTAATTCTTTCTTTTTGGTATGGGGGATTGAACCCAGATCCTCAAGCTAAATTCACATTTTTGCACATGAAATCCACGTGTGCCATGTATTTGAGTTAACAGTATGAACTATCACAAACAGCAAAATACTGATTCTAATTTATGTCAATTTGCAAAGTATTGGAAAATTTGCTTATACTAGGTGTTTGGGGGAGAATTATTTAGAAAACTTTAGAAACTCAACATCAACAAGTCGCTTTTAAAAGTTCCTCATTTGAGCCCATTCATACGTTAGACATTCTGGTAAGAAACTCGAGGCAGGCAAAGGTTGATGTTCAGCACTAAAACGGCGAAGGCGGGAGAGGTGGCAAATCGTTTTGGCTACCGGGTAGGAGGAAAAGGCCGCAAGTGAGGAGGCGTTTACCTTCAGGTGGGGCGAGCCCGGGAGACCAGAGGACCACCAGCCTCGGCTCGGGCTCAACCCCGACTTTTCCTCGCCGCGGGCAGCGGATTTGGCATCACCTGTTCCTGCAGGGGTCAGAGGAAAATACCGGGCGGTAGGGCCACCCGTACCCCTTCCCGGTTCGCCTTAGACCCAGGCCCCGGAGGCGGGCCAAAAGGCGCGCGTCAGTGATGTCATAGCGCGCGCCGGAAGTGCTTCCTTAGGATAGCGGCGGCGAGTGGACGACTACGTTCGTGGTGTCTCCCGGCGGCCCAGAGTAGGTGAGCGCATTTTACTTTTGCTAGAGGTGACGGGACACGTGAGCTGGCATCTACGCCTCGGGGGAGCTGGCGGGTGGTTCCCGCTGAGGAACCTGGAGTCTCCTGCAGCATTTCAGTCGTGCAACTGTTCTGCCCTTGCGATTGAGGGTGGAGAGACGCAGTGGATTTTGGAATAAAGGAAAGTATCGAGTCTAAGTTACATATTCGCTTCTCTTTAGTATTCTAATATGCAAAAAGAGTACTGAGCTAGGTGACCTAAGTGACTAAACAAACATCAGTTAAGAAATCGGCAATTTTATTGAATGTGTTCGACGTACTCACCTCGGTTTTAGGCACTTTAGGAAATAACAACAACAAAAAATTGCAAACCAGGCCTTTTTTTTTTTTTTTTTTTTCCCTCGTGGCGGTGATTTCAGTGTAGTCGGGGAGACAAGGCCAACTCGGGGAAAGTTGGATTCACAGAATGACTAATCTTGATTGGTATGTTGAACTTCTTGGCCCCTCCCCCCTGCCCACCCCCCACCCCCGCCCTCCCGATCTGTAATGGACAGGAACAGCTTTTTCTCTAAGAGGTCGTAACGGGCCCATCATTCCTACTGACAAAATCAAAATAATGCAAGGTAGTTTATACTTAACTTCTACCCACCAGCACATACAGATCAGGCCTCTAACTACTCCCTGGGAGCCTGCGTGCCAGCAGCTTGGAACCCACAGCCTGTCCTGGAGCCTGCACAGTCCATCCAGACTGAAGCTGATGTCTTCTGGAGAGACGGAAGTGCAATCCATCCAGGGCGCAGCTGAATTTTGCGAGGCCTGAATGCCTCGGCGTCCACCAAAGGACCGCTGGTACTAATTCTCTTGGCAAACTGTGGCCAGCCAAACCTATCATGCTTCACATCCCAGTTATCCTTGGTTATCGCCCAAGATGTAAGCCCCTTTGGTATTCTATGCTATATTCCCTTATCTTCTGCTGCTTTGTGTTTCTTTTCCGGTGATTTAGGCTGTCACTGCTCTTGGTTTTCTTAAGCATCTAACCCCTCAGCACCCATCCTGTGCTCTCTCAAACCTTTTTTCTGCTTTTGCTCATTTACATATTCAGCCTTTTTACTGAGATTGTTTCATTTCCTGACCTTTATTAACACGTGGTTTTTCCTACTAATCATTTCAATTGAGTCCTTTCTTTGATACCTACATTGAAAGTTGGCAGTGACTCTTGCCATATTGAACTAATTTCATTACCTCAAAATACATTTTTATCTCCTCAGTGTCTTTGGAAAGACTCTTTTCTCTATTTGGACATTTGGTTTCCCTGTCGCCACCTACCTCTTTCTGGATAACTCCTATTCTTGCTGTCACTTTATTTGAGGGCGTTTCCTAACTTCTTAGAGTTAATTTTCTTTACCTTCCTTAAATGCTCTCTGCTTAGCTTTTAGAGCTTATCACATGTATTCTAAATGTTTCTCTATTTGCCTATCTGCTAAGCTAGGCTGTGAAGGAGAGACTGTACTTGTTTTCATTTTTGTAATTTCAATATCTAATACAGTTACTGGTGCATAATAGGCAGTCAGGTAGTTCTTGAATGATTGTAGATGCTGAAGGTATGGTTTCAGTGGTCAAGGCACTTAAAATTAATATGTAAAGAACCTGGGGGAAGGGATCAACTGCTATTCAGTTAATTGTGACTTATAGATAATTGTGACTTGTAAGAATATGATCCTAGTGTTGTCAGAACATTTAATCTGTTCAAGAAATGTTGGGAAAAATGTGTTTTTTTTTTTTTTAAAACACTACTCTCAAATTTTTATAAAATATTTTCTTAATTGTAGATGGACACAATACCTTTATTTGATTTTATTTATTTATTTTTAATGTGGTGCCAGGGATCAAACCCAGTGCCTCATGCATTCTAGGCAAGCATTCTGCCACCAAGCCACAACCCCCCAGCCCTATTTCTAAGTTTTTTAATAATATTGTTAATGGAATAAAATCTTGGTTTAAAAACAACAACAACAAAAAACCACAAGCCAGATAAAGTCACAGGTGACTTGTCATTCATCAGTTTGGAATCTGTATTAAGTGCTGTAAATTTTAGATAATGGATTTTGTAGAGAATAGCAGATTGTGAATTGGGCCTTGAGGTATGGTTGGAAGTTGAATGATAGAATGGAAGGGGGTGTTTTGGTTTGGAAAATAACTCAATTATAGGATAGAATATCCTATTTTGTGTCACAGGAGAATGGCATGAATAATGCTTTTGGGGAAGAGTAGGAGATGGTAGAAGTAGGCATTTGAAAGACAGGAATTTGGATTTATTAGACTTAATTAATAAGAAACTATTTGGATTCTTAAGGATAGCATAAATTGCTGGGTATGATAACACATCACCCGTAATCCCAGTGACTTGGGAGGTTGAGGCAGAAGTATTAAAAGTTCAAGGCCACACTAGGAAACTGAGATCTGTTTTTTACTGGGAATGTAGTTCAGTGGTAGAGTACTACTGGGTTCAATCCCCAGTTTAAAAAAAAAAAGAAAAAAAGAAAAAGGAAAGCACACATTAAGAATACATATTAATAGTTAAGTTTTTTTTCTTTTTTTTTTAGGTAAAATGGAAGGTAAAATACTGAAAGGAGGCTGACCAATTAGCCTTTAACTTCATCTAGGTGTGAAGTAAGATGTGAAATAAGGTTTAGATTTATAAATACTATACTTAGGCAGACATCTGGCATTTTTGTCTACTTGTGTAATTTCATTTATCATAGTGGACAGTCACAAATCTAAGTTAATTAATGAAATACAGTCACAAATATAAGTTAATGAAATAAAAAGTTTTTTTTAAACTAAATGCATTTTTAAACTTATACATTAAAAATATAAAAATTGTTTGTATTGGGAGTACCATGTTATGTTTTGATACATGTATATGTTGTTATGTTTAAATCGGGCTAAACATTTATCTCCTCAAACAATTATTATTTCTTTATGGTAAAAATTTTCAGAATTCTTTCTTCTAGCTTTCTGAAATGTATAGTCTACTATTGTTTTCTGTAGGCACACCAGAACTTCTTGCTCCTGTGTAACTGTAACTTAGTATCCATCTATCAACCTTTACCCCCCCCCCATCCTTCTCTCTCCATTCCTCCTCCCCAGCCTCTGTAATGACCATTCTATTCTGAACTAAAAGTTTTAATTTTTTCCTGTTGCTGGGAATTCAACTTAGGGTTTGGACATGCTAGGCAAGCTACATCTCCAGTCCTTTTTATTTACTTAATTTTGAGACAGGGTCTCACTAAATTACCCAGGCCTATCTCTAATTTATGATACTCTTGCCTTAAAACTCCCAAATAGCTGGGATTACAGGCATGTGCCACCATGCTTGGCTAAAGTTTATAATGAAATGTATATTTTTTAATTATTTGTTCTTTTTAGATATACATTAGAGTGTATTTTGACATATTATACATACATGGGGTATAACTTCCCATTCTTGTGCTTGTACATGATGTGGAGTTACACTGGTTATATATTCATAAATAATCACAGGAAAGTTATGAACGATTCATTCTACTCTTTTCTATTCCCATCCCCCAACTCTTCCCTTCATTCCCCTTTTTCTAATTTAGTAAACTTCCATTACCTCCCTCCTTCTCTTATTGTATGTTAACATGCACATATCAGAACATTTGGCTTTTAGTGTTTTGGAATTGGCTTATTTCACCTAGCATGATAGTCTCCAGTTCCATCCATTTATTGACAGAAGCCATACTATCATTCTCTCTCTCTCTCTCTTTTTTTTTTTTTTTTKTACAAAGGATTGAACTCATGAGCACTCAATCACTGAGCCATATCCCTATCCCTATTTTGTATTTTATTTAGAGATAGGGTCTCTTAGTACCTTGTTTTTGCTGAGATTGGCTTTGAACTCTCTTTTTTTTTTTTAAAGAGAGAGAAAGAGAGAATTTTAATATTTATTTTTTAGTTATCGGCGGATACAACATCTTTGTTTTGTATGTGGTGCTGAGGATCGAACCCGGGCCACACGCATGCCAGGCGAGCGCACTACCACTTGAGCCACATCCCCAGCCCCGGCTTTGAACTCTTGATCCTCCTGCCTCAGCCTCCCAAGCTGCTGGGATTATAGGCGTGTGCCACTGTGCCTGGCTTTATTCTTTTCTATCCATTCTTCTTTGTGACTGAGTAATATTCCGTTGTGTGTGTATGAATGTGTATGTATATGAATATGAGCCACATTTTTTTTATCCATTCATCTGTTGAAGGCGCCTAGGTTGGTTCCATAGCTTAGCTACAGTGAAGTGAGTGGCTATAAACATTGATGTGGCTCCGTCACTAGAGTATGCAGATTTTAAGTCCTTTGGGTATATGCCAAGGAACAGAATAACCAGGTTATTGGTAATGGTGTTTCCATTCCAAGTTTTCTGAGGAATCTCCATGTTGCGTTCCAGTGTGGATGCACCAATTTGTAGTCCCACCAGTAATGTATGAGTGTACCTAAAAGAAGTATTATTAAAGCATTGAATAGGCAGTGACTTCTGAAAAGTAAAGAATGCAGTACTTTAAAAATTTTGTTATATGATTCATAATGGGAGCAATCAGTGATCTCCCTGCCCCCGGCTTCTTCTCTAATCCATTTTGTGTATTGCCAGGTTAATCTTTTCTATTGACATTCTCCCTCCTCACATTATTTCTAGGCTTAGAGGTCTGTAGTGGGCTTCATGTCTAGAATTTCGCTTTGGTACTATTTAATGACCTTGAATTTGTTCTTTCTGTCCTTGCCTGTCTCCTTTGTGAAGCAGTATGATACTGTTGGAAAGAGCTTAAACCTTAAAGTCATGCATGCCAGAGTCTGTTTCCAGGCTTCAATGAACCCTGGAATTTAAGCTTTTCAGAGGTTCCACAGTTTTTGGAAAGTGAGAGATAGTATCTCTTATTTTTAAGATTGTGTGGGTAAGGTGTTTACATGTTTTGAAACTCAGTTGCACAGATTCTTGCATATACAGGAGGAAATGAAAACTTGCTGAATACCTAAGTAGGCTTTTCCCCCTATTCCTTGCCATGTGAATCTGCTTTGGTCAATTCTGTTTTTTTTTTTTTGTTTTGTTTTGTTTTGTTTTAAAAAAACATATCTCCCTAATACCTTTTTCTTTCCTTAGATTCTACTATTCACTATTGTTCATTCACATTTAAGCGACCTCTCAAGATTCTATTTAAACATTTTTAACTGTCTTAAAACATTGATAACTACCTCTATACCTGCTTTTACCTCTGAGTACTAAACAGTACTGAATTCTGGTAGGTCCTTTGTTCTATTTTGACCATATTAGTTGGTATCAGTGCTAATTCCCCCTAAGACCTTAACTAATTATTTTTTAAATTTATTTTTATTTAGTTCCCTGGAATTTTAAACATTTTAAAGTAGAAATATCATTATGCAGTTTTCAGATTCAAGTCAATTCTTAAAATCTCCCTAATGTTTCAATTTAGGCTGTCAGAAATGTATTTACTTGCTTTAAATCAGTTGATCTCAGCCTGAGATGAGTTTAAGATTTGAAAAAAATTAGTGAAGAGAATGGCTGCTCTGAAGGGGCCCAGCAAAGATAGGATGGTATGAGGGCTGAGAGAGGGTAGGAGAACCCAGAGAAGAAGGGGGCTTGGTAAGAGGACTCAGGGATCTCTTTGCCATTCATCCACCTGGTTAAATGATCAGCCTCTTTGTCCTCCATTCCCCCAGCCTGAACACAAGGATCCTCCCACCTATCCCTAAGATGAGTTGGAGAGACCCATTTTGTGCAGGTGGGTGGATGTGGAAAGACAGAGGTCATCCAGAGCCTGCTCTATACCATGCCCTTGTTGGTCCTGCACAGAGCTGTCCTCATATCCTTGGACAGCCCTGGGACCTTGGCTTTCCTTCC